TCAATTTTTTATTATTATAATCATCAATTTTTTGATTTTAAAAATATCCATCTTTAAAATTCCAGAATTGCCCAAAATTGTTTTTTAATTTTTTAATTTTTTTTATCTTTTCAAAATTCATTAAAGATATTATTATGTATTGAGTGTTTTGTATTTTTTTTTTTATGAAAGAAATTAAAAAATTATTTTTAATTAATTTTTTTCGAAATTTTTTTCGAAATTTTTTTTTTAATTTCGAGATATTTTTTAAAGTAATAAAAGGTGTAATTAACTTACCCATATAAAACTTGGTGGATGTTATTTATTATTTATTAAAAAAGTGACCATTAAAAAAAAAAGTTAAAAATGATTTTTTTTTGCAAAAAAGGTTTTTTTTTGGAAAAAATTTAGAAATAAAAATTTATGACCACTTTTTTTTTATTTACAAAAAAAAAAAAAAAAAAATTTTCATTTCTTAATTTTTTTTTGCATGAATATAATTTTTTTTTTTTTTTTTTTTTTTTTCCCCAAGCCTCCCCCCATAAAAACCTCCACCCCAAAAAAATTATTATAGTGCGTGTTAAAGAGTGATTTTATATTTGTATATGTATCATATATTAATTTTTTTTTATGTATTTTTTTTTTATATATATTATTTTTTTTATATATTTAAATAATTCAATTTTTATTTTTTTAAAATTCATAATATATATTAATATAAAACACTCTTAAAATATAAAAACTTTTTATATATAAAAAAAAAAAGGACAAGTAATAATTTATATTACAAAAATAAAATATATAAATATATTAATTATTATTACCCAATCAAAAATAAAAATAAGATTATAGGAAGAGAACAATATCTAATATGGATCTATTAAGCATGAAAGAATATTTAGTATTAAAACACATCAAGTATTACGGATCATTAAAACAAATCAAGGATTTTTTTAGCATTTTATTAAATCCTTGATATGTTTAATGATACATAATGCTTGATATTTTTAATGCTAAATAATCCTTGATATGTTTTAATGCTAAATAATCTTTGGCCATGACAAGCTTTATAAAAATGCCATATTTTCTTGAATAACAGCCCAAACCCAAACTTTTTATTCTCCGTTCTCCGTAAAATCGTTAAAGCCTTTAAAGGGGCAGTTGGTTCATTTATAATATATGAAATCTTTAATTTGTATTCTAGATTTTGGGATGGGTTTTCTAATGTGTTTTTGATTACTGGTTTGTTATCACATATTCCTTCCTTTTCTTCTTTTAAAACTTGATTACAATTTGGATTCATGTTAATTTATTATTATTATTATGAAAGTTTAAAGTTCTATTATAATTATTATTATGCAAATAATTAAATAAAAATCAAATTAAAAACAAATTAAATTTTTTTTATTTATTTTTGAATATCAGTTTATCTATTATAATTGAACTAATATGGAAGGGGTATTTTCAAAGATTGAATTTTTTATGTGTGAACAAAAAAAAAAAAAAATAAAAAAAAACTTGATAATAAAAAAAAAATTTTGAGAGGTTTAATATGATTGTATTATTAAATATAATTTTATTTTTTCGGGATAATAAAACAATAAACAATATTATTTATGAAATCACATACATTGAGATTTAGAAAAAATTAACAAAATTATATATTAATTTTAATTTTGTAACAATTTCAAATAAATAAAAAAAACCCCACTCACAAACAATAATAAATATATACAAACACTCTTTTAACCCCACATGTGCTCTCACACTCACTGTAAAAAAAAAAACAAATACATAGTAATTTTATATCAGGTAAAATTAAAAACAGTTTTAATAACAATCTAATAAGTTTGAACAACAATATTGTACAGTTGCCTCATAAAAAAAAAAAATAGAAGATATATCATTTTTAGTTTTATTATATAAATTCATTTTTTCTTTATTATCTTTTTTTTAAAAGGATATAAATAAACTACAATTTTTAATAAACATAATTTTTATTGTTCAGTGCACAAAAATAATTTTTGTACACTACTTGTGTTAAATTGATAATTGTATTTTTTAACCAATCAAAAACTTTTAATTAATTTGTATTTTTTTAAAAAACATTCATATTAATTTTATTTCATTATAATTTAAAATAAAAATAAATAATAACCAGGGATAAAAAATATTTTTCAGTAAATAATAATCAAAAACCCCACAAATATAATTATTTTAATAACTCTATTAAATTATTTAAAAAAATAGTTTGGGTTAGTAGCTACTATAGTGTTTTGATTTTTTTTATAAAATAGTTAGTATTATCAACCAAGAAATAATATAAATCTATCAATGTTATTATTTACTAAAAAAAAATTATTATTTTATTTATATTATAGAGTGTGGCAGTGAAGGTTTAAAATAACATATTTGATGTGCATTGTAAAACAGTTTTTCTCCTATGCTGTCTCTGCTTTGGAGTATGTATATGAATATTTCTCTCCTTTTTGAAAAAATAGGTTTTTTCAGTTTTTAACACTTGAAACTCAATCGAATTTTAAAGAGGTGATTAAAAGAAATCTATAAAAATAAAAAATAAAACAAATAAATAATATTATAAAAACAAAAAAATAAAAACAAATAATAATAAATAAAAAGAAATAATTATTAGCAAATAAATAAAGACTAATTTGAATATATTTAAAATTATCAATAAAAATATTTTTATTTTTATTTTATTTTTATTTTATTATTGTTGTTACTATAACCTAAAGGTAGATATTGACTTTATTTTTGAGCTAATAACTTTTCTAAAAAGATTTTAAATTTTAATCTATTGCCCATAGCATTCATACCGAAAGAAATTAATTAAACATCATTTGGTAAACTGTCAGAAATGTTCTTCCATCTATTACACGAGCTTTGAGATTTGAAATGATTTCTATGGGAAATTTTAATGATGTTAACCATTCACTAACCTTTTTACTTGACCAATCGTTAACAGTATCTCTTGAATCTTTGCTATATACTGTATTGTTATACAAAGGTTTATTCATGAGAACACTGTTTTTGCTATTGTTGCTATTGTTGTTATTGTTGTTATTGTTGTTATTGTTGTTATTGTTATTATATTATATTTTCAATTTTCCATATGTTTTTATCTTGAATACCATTTCTAAGGTTATCAATAATCAAACTAATAATAATAATGATTTGATTATTGCCTTATCTTATTGTTTAAACACTACAATCAGCACGATTGAATTATATAACTCTGTATCTGTATTTGTATATTGCTTAATAGCTAGAATCTGCTTCTCTTTTTAAAAGAATGTAAAAGGTAGTTTGTGATGGATGTCATTACTGATCTTATATTAGTTTGCACTTTGATCAATACGGATGGTGTTTTTTTAAATCTTTAAAGGTTCAGTTCCATAATCATAGCCAAAACAAAAGATCACAAGAAATAATCCCATACTATTGTTTATTACCATTACTATTATTATTATTATCGCTGTTATTTTTATAATTATTTTATTGTTATACTTTATTGCCTTCTAATATTGCTTTAACCCTGAGATAGCACTCTGTTTCTGAACCTGTGATAAATATTATTTTGATGTTATTGCCTGGCTCTATTGTTTAATAGGCAACAACAAACTACTAGCAAGCAGAATACCTTGGAAGATATTATAAGTTATTTAAATTTTGAAAAATTATTCAGTTCCAAAATCATAACCAAACAAACTATCACAAAGAATCTATTCATTATTGCTGTTATTTTTGCAATAGATATTATTATTGTTAAAACTTAATTATTTATTATAAATATTATTATTATTTTTTTTTTTTTTTTTTTTTTGAAGATAGATTTGTTTTATTTTTTTTCTGAATAAATAATTAAAATAATTAATATTAGAAAATATATTTGAATTAAATAAAATATCATACTTTTTTTGAAAAAAAAATGGGTTTTTAAATTAAAGAAAAAATGGGTTTCCCAATTAAAAAAAAAATTAAAAAAAATATTATTTGAAAAAAAAAAAAAAAAAACGAAAAAAGCAAATCTAACTTCAAAAAAATTAATCAGATTGTAAATAGAAAAATTATAATTTTTTTTTAAAATTTATTTATATTTATTTAAACATATTTTTTAATAATATTTTGTTGTGTTAATAATATATTATATGTGAAGTTTTTAAAAATTCAAACTTTGAATCATTAAAGGTAAATATAAACACTATTTCTTATATAATAGAAACGATAAATTTGTTTTACAAAAGATTTTCGGTATTAACTAGCGATATAAAAATAGTTTATAGAAATAATTAAAAAAGAGATGACATTAGCAATAGTAACGATAAAAATAAGATTAGAACAAAAATAATTTTAGAAATAATAGGAGGAAGAATAATAATAATTAATTATCAGAGATAATAAATTTATTGATTTCACAGAAAGAGATGATGATAATAGTAGTAGTAATAATGATAAAACTAGAAACAGCTATGACAGTGGCACAACTTTTTTTGGTTCCACCCAAACTACTGAATACAATAGTAACTACAATAATAATAACAGTATCTATCTTAGTTATAAAATCAATCTCCAATAAGTTTTTAGAAGGCAATTTATTAAATAGTAACAGTAGTAGTAATATTATTTAGATAATGGAACAGAAAAAAGATTCGAAATTTAACAAATTCAAAGTAATCATAGTGTTGTTAATGCAGGTGACGAAAGTTTAAATTCAAATCCTTTTTTGAAAAGTAACAAGCTCCAAAACAAAGTAATATCTACCTTTGGTTATAGTAATAATAATAAAATAAAATAAAATAAAATAAAATAAAAATTAATAGTTTTAAAATATATCAAATTTGTTTTTATTTATTTATTTTGTTTTGATAGTGTCTCCAAACACCATAAACACTGCCAGCAAAAAGTAAAGTTAATCCAATTGATAATATATTGTGGCATGTGGGATATCGTTTTGGAAATATGTGGTTCTGATATAAATGAAACAAATTTTAAAATTACAAATAAACCAAAAATTGAAGGAATCACCTCAGTTTCATCCAGAGAAGGTGGAAATGTAACAATCAATGGAATTAATCTATATTCAAGGGCATTTGATAATTCCACAAATAAACTATCAGGATATCGCATACAACTGGTCAAATAGTAACAATTACTGGTGTTTCAGTTCATACTAAAAAAATTGAAGGATCATCAACTGTAAATTTACCTATAAGCATATATGTTGGTAGCGGTGAAAATATTGCAAAATGTAAAAGTCCCAATAGTAATGATGGTATTCATCTAGAGTGTTTATTGGACCAGGAGTTGGTAGGGACTTGCCATTATCAGTTAGCATTGATAAGTACACAATAGTAGAGAAAAACTTTTCAGTTACAATAGTCCGTTAGTTTCTGGTATTGAATATAATGTAAGTGGATTGGTAACACTATTTGGTTATAATTTTGGAAGAGATCTAAACAAAATATCCATAGTATCTGGAGAAACACAAATTAAAATTTCAAATGTTAACGATTCGTGTTTGCAATTTATGACACCCAAATTACTTCATGGACTTCACTATTTGGATATAACTGTTGGAATACCAGATCATCAAAATATACAGAAACAATATGAATTTGCTGTTAAACCCGTAATTTTAAAAATAAACTCAATCCCTGTAAGTGGAGGTGAAGTTACAATATATGGCAACTACCTTAGCCCAAGAGCTGCTATTTCATTTAGATCTAAAAGAGGAACTCCATCAGGTATTCCATGTAACAACATAACCATATATGAAGATAATACAATATTAAAATGTAATGTTAAAGGTATTTCAGGTCAAGAAATTAAACTAGATGGAATTGGTGAAAGAAAAACCACATCAGGACACAATAATAATATTTTTATGAGAATTAAAGGTAGAAATGCAATAAATCCAAACAATATTACATTTTCATTTTACCCACCAACTGTTTATGGATCTCCCGGTAAAAGTGATAATCTTTAATAAATAATTCTAGTTATCAAATAAATATACAATTATTTGTTTATGAATTGCATAAATTTTTTTTTTTTTAAATTAAATAGTTAATTTTTTTTTTTGCAAATATATAGTTAAAAATTTATTAATATTTTTTTTTTTTTTTTATAAAAATAATAATCATTTTAAGTTGATTTGATTGACATTCTATTGTAGAACTGATACTGAATTAAACAAATACTTTTTTGTTTAAAATTTTTTGAATTTTTTTTAGTCTTATAATACAACGATTAAAAGTATTATTAGACTAAAAAAATTCAAAAAAGTATTTGTTTAATCTTGTAGACGACATAAGAAACAATAGTAATTACACCAGCACCTATAATAATAACAGATGAAGGAATTGTTATTGATAGTTTGTTAGACTCCTTGGGAACTGGGGGTTCCTCTTTAACTAAATAGAAATAAAAAATTAATAAGTTGTTCAATAAATATACTTTTTTATATAATATTATAATTACAGTAATATGTAAAGTTGTTTTTCAATTCTGCAGTTTGCCCATCAACTGTAACATAAATACCAAAAGTTTTATTTTGGTATTCAGCTTTTTGATTTTTGTCAACCGAGTCAAGAAAACAGGTAATTATTTCATAACCCTTTAGAACACTGGGCCATTTACATTCTTCCTTACCAATGAATTATTATTATTTAAATTTTCTAAATATTATTATTATTTAGAAAATTTGAAAATTTTTAATTATTTGGTTTATTACTAATATCGATTGATCCAATTGTGCTTATTTTTGGAAATATAACATTTTTACAATATTGCCCAATTTTAGGAAATGCTGCATCAGCAACCAAATATTCATCATCTGTAAGCAAACCAACTACATCTACTAGACTAAGAAAATTTAATGATACTTGATCAGGTATGGATCTTGGAAAGAATGAGAGAGATATTGAAATTTTCCTATTCCATCAACAATACCAATTGTTGATATGCATTCTATTTTTTCTTTACCACTATGCATATTGTTTCTATATTGTTTTGTAGGTGCGCTGCTTGTTGGAGTTAGATTACCATAAATACAGTAAAACCGTTTGAAACTTTGAATTCATTTTTATCAAACCAGTGACCACGTGCTAACCTTTCTTCTAATGGTAAGAGATGAATAGTATTTATTAGATTAAAAAAATACATGCATCCACACATTCGCTTGTAAATTTTAGTTGCCTGTGTCAGTTTTATTTCAAACAAATATGATAGATATTCAAAACTAAAGTTTGATTTTAGTTTTGTCAGTGTTAAAGCCAAGCATAATTGATTTCTAATTCCTTTTTTATTTCCTCGTCGCTCACTGATAATTACCAACTCTGCCTCTTCCTCTGCCTCTAG